AATAACCCACCCTTCGGGCTTGATGCAGCTGGAAGGTTTTGTCTCTGACCTGAGGCTAGAGCTCCGAAATAATTCTACAAACTTGGCCTCCCCTGTCAAGTACTAGCAGAAGATTTAATGGCATTGGCTGATTTATGCTGGCTGTTGTAATCAAATTCTGAGCCAAGGCGCAGCCAGCCATGGGAGGTTTCTTTATGTTCCCTTGGATCTAATAGCACTGTCTCCTCCTTCCTCTCCACTTACCACATGCTGTTTGGTCAAATTGGAACTTGAACTCAACAAGCAGATGCCTTCTTTTAGATAAGGTCCAAATACTCCCCTTATGAGAGGAAAGGGGGATGGGTTTGTTTCTTTGAATCTATGTGTGTAAAGGTGATATCTTTGATATAAGACTCATATAAAATAACGGCAAATGAGGTGAGGATTTTCTTTTATCCTATGATGAGGGCAGACTTTTCCTCCTCAAGGCATCTCTTTGGGGTGGGGCAGGGGTAGAAGTAGAATCTTGGGATTCAGTGACCTCTCAACCAAGGTCTCATAAGACTGGCTGCACACCCCGTCAGGTAACACTGTGCCTCAGCTCTATGTAGCTGCAGAAGCCCATAGATATTGGCCAAGGAGGGCACTGGACTGACCTGTTCCCAACTCTAATCCATGTGGAGATATTTTCTGTTACATTGTTTTTTTTGTTTTTTGAGACAGAGTCTCACTATGTCACCCTGGGTAGAGTGCTGTGGCATTGTAGCTCACAGCAACCTCCAACTTTTGAGCTTAAGCAATTCTCTTGCCTCAGCCTCCCAAGAAGCTGGGACTACAGGCACCCACCACAACACCCAGCTATTTTTTTGTCATTGTAGTTGTCACTGTTGTTTTTTTAGCAGGCCTGGTTGGGTTCGAACCCGCCAGCCCCGGAGTATGTGGCCGACGCCCTAACCACTGAGCTACGGGTGCCGAGCCTGTTTTATTCTTTTTTTATTATGAACAATTTCAGAAAAATAAAAAGAACTGTCCAGGGAATACAAATATGCCCACTATTATCAGCTGAAAAGTGTGTCCCCACAATTTATATGGGGAAGCCCGAATTAGACCCAGTCATTACAATGTAAGGTTTTTCAAGGATGGGTCTTCATAAAGGTGAGGACGTTGAAATGAGGCCATGAAGTAGGCCCCAATTTAATTTGACTGGTGTTCTTATAAGAAGGGAAAACTCAGACAGAGATACCAGGGACGCATGCACAGAGGAAAGGCCATGTGAGGACAGAAAGGGCATCTGGGAGCCAAAGGCATTTACTCAGGAGAAGCAAATCCGCCAGCACCTTGGTTTGGACTTCCAGCTTCCATTCCTATGAGAGGCACCTTTCTGTTGTTTACACCCCCCAGTCTGAGGTACTGTGTTAGGACAGCCCCAGCAGACGAACACACCTGCCACGGAGACTCTGCACTGATCATGCTTTTACCATATTTATCATGTACTTGTTTACCCACCCATCTCACTTTTAATGGATTTCAAAGTGAGTTTCAGATCTGTTGCTCACTTTGAGGAATAGAATAGGGACGGCTGATTGAAGGCCACCAACACATTTGATCGAACCCTCTCTGTGGTCAGGAGAGTTGCAACTGTCTGCTCATAGGAGTTCATAAACCAGGAAGCAGATACCCAGAAATGAAGAACAATAAGGTTTGATTAGAAAGACATGATTCTGAGCTTTGGTAAATGACTTCAACCCTAGCTGGCTGGGGCAACAACACCTCTGGGTCCTTTAGATGCCATTTCTTCTGAGGTTTCCTGCTCGTTCTCTAGGTGGTGGTGGTGGAAAGAGATCACCACTTAGTGCTGGTAACATAATGAATCTCCAGAGGTTTTCAAAGTCAGACATTTGGATTCCATCCTAGCCTACTTAGCTCCTAATTGTGTGTGATTTTTAGGTGTGTCCCTCAATCTCTCTGAACTTTGCCTGAAAAAGAGGATAATACTAATTCATCTGTTCATGGAGGATATTATAGAATGTTCTCCATTCCTGGCACCTCACAGCTAGGTTGAGGCCAAGGTGGGAAATGAGAAATTTGATCAGATATCAAGGGTGAGGGAGTATTTCTAAACCGACTGACCAGTATAGAAGTAGGATTATATTAATAGCAAGAATAGCGTTCTTACTATAACTGGATTCTGCAAGGAAGAACACAGAAGCCCACAGAGAGCCTGACCCAAGTTTAGTTAAGCAGAGGACCTTTGTCAGTAGGAAAGTAGAACCCAGGTCCTCCTCCCTACTGCCCTGCACACCTGGGTTTTGGGATGGAGCAGCAGCTGTGAAGTGCCCCGGAGCTGATGGGATCCTAGGCTCTGCCCCAAACATGTAGATGTCTTCACCTCAGGTGAGTTCTCAGGATCCCTGGGAAGGGTGTCTGCATTATCTAAGCCACAAAATCTCTCTGTGTGTAGTGGTGGGAGACACAGCAGGAGGCAGATGGAAAGCAGAACTCACTTTAGTCTCATTGCAGGGAGGAGGCCTAAGTGTGGCAGCAGTGGGGACAAGAGCATCTGGAACCGTGCCCAGGGAGGCCATATTCCAGAAGTGGGCTCTGGACTGGTTGATAAATCCCAGAGCTGCAATTAAGACAAAATACTGTGAATATGACACCTGCTGACAGCTGCAGGAAGGCCCCGGAACTTTTATGATGAATTAGATTTTGCAGGCAGCCCTGCTGTGGTGAGCCAATGCTGAGGCCAAGGCACTGAGGGCAAAGATTGCTCACAGGGGGGAAAAAGGGAAACTCCTCCCTCTTTGTCCAGGTCTCTTATGAGGGACCATTTACGTCTCAGGAATCACAGACCCTGATAGAAGCCAAAGCAGGAAAAGGCTTAGAGCTCATCTGATCCAAGGTTCCCATTTTACATCTAGGAAAATCAAGGCCCAGAGGGAAGATGCATCAGCTAAGATCACACAAAGAGTTACTGCCATTGTTAGAGACAAGGGTACCTCAGCCCAGGCTGGTACACCTGGCTGAAGGGAGTTAAAAGTAGTTGAGGCACTGGGAGTGCTTGAGAAGACAGAGACAAAGCCAGAGACAAAGATAGTCTCAGAGACAGAAAGAATGAGACTGAGAGAGAAAAGAAGGCAGCAGAGGAGGGAAACAGAGCAGAAAGAGACAGAAGACATTCATGGACCTAAATAATCAGGCTCAAAATAGAGACTCAGATACCCGCAGAGTTGGGCAGGACCCCAGCGATTGTCCAGTCCAGCCACCTTCATTTTTACAATAACAAATCAAAGTATAGCTGAGTGCTTTTACATGTGTAAATTGTTTTAGAAAAAGTTTGATGCCGTTTTGGTTTTTAAAAAATGCTTTTGGTGTGGAAAGTGGAAAAGTTCCAAGAATTTCTGACATGAAGTTTGAAAACTGAAGATCTGCTGGAGTATGACCCAGAACAGGGACATTTGGAGGAAATACGTTTGCAGATAATCTTTCTGCAACTTTTCTGCAAGGATAATGGGAAATCCCCAGAGAAGGAACAGAGCCTAAGCTTTCCCTCTCACGCCTCCCATCTTTGTACCAGCAAATCTCTGCTTTCAAGGCTGAGCTCAAATGCCGCTTCTTCCAGGAAGTCTTTCCTGATTTCCCACTTGCCCCCCCTTTTACCCTGAAGGAAAACCGAAACCCATCTCTTCTTCCTGTAAATCTTTCCAGACATCTCATGTTATAATTCCTCTTTTCTCACATTGTACAATAATTATCCAAGAATATGTCAATAAAAGAGCCCCTATTTTGCACCAAGAATGTCAAATGCTATAGCTTTAATCCTCACAATAAACTAGCAAGGTCTGTTTGCTGTACCCACTTTATAGGTAGGGAAGGTGACAGAGAGAATGAATAACTTTCTCATGGTCACACGGCTGCTAAGTGCAAACACCAGGACTCTAGGGGCAATATTCTTTCCATAACACTGAACAACATATTCTGAGGGCAGGAACCGTGTCTAGTCATTTTACCTCTCACAATTTAATAGTCACCATGTGTTTCTGAATGAATAAAACGGTGAGTGAATGAATGCAGAAGTGCCTTTTCTTTTACAGGCTATAGTGCAGGGATCAGCAAACTACACCCTGCAGGGCAAACCAGTGTGCCTCCTATTTTTGTGAGTGAAGTTTTACTGGAACACAGCCCCATCCATGCCTTTATGTGTTGCCTATGGCTGCTTTCATGTACAATGGTAAAGTTATGTTGTAACAGAGACCGCGTGGCCCACAAAGCGTAAATATTTACTATCCAGCCCTTTATTGAGAAAGTTTGCTAATTTCTGCTATAGTGTGTGGTCTTTACCAAGCTGGTTAAAATGACAGTGCTGATTGCTAAGTATTAATAATCTGGTCTTTTATGATCTAGAATATTGTGGGTGTCCATGCTCACGCACTGCGTATGCCTATAAGCTACCAGGCAGAGTTCATGTGTATCTGGCATATGGCACTTTATTCTTTTATGGGCAGACCTTGTACAGAAAGATTTGCCCACATGCCCTTTGGAAATATATGTGTGTGTGTTGTTGTTGTTGTTGTTATTTTAATTAAGTTTAGATTTGTCGGCAGCACCTTGGCACAGGCATGGTGAGAGCTGAGTCCTCTGGCCACCAAGGACTTCTCTGAAGCAGAAGAGGACAGATTCCCCTTGAACAAGCTCAGTGGGAGGTTGACTTTAAGGCTGGCCAGAGCAATATTGACGAGGCAGTTTTTGAGCCAAATGAAAAGCAGCCTGTTTGACCAATTGTGGCTTGCAGGGGGATCACTATCCTGGGCTCTCAATCTCACGTCCTCTGCTCAGCCAAAGGCACTCTCTTCCTCTAAGCCTCCCCTAGAACAGTGTTCCTGGGGAACCAGAGCAGGGCTGCCTCTCCATTCCTGCTCCGGGGAGCTCAGGACAGGCCCCTGGACCCCTAGCATCTGGGGCAGAAGCAATATCAAAGCAGGGATTGGCTGATTCCCACCCCAAATGCCCAGCAGACCAGGCGCTGGGAGCACTCAGGGGCGTGACAAATCGCAGCCTGTCTCCAGCTTGTGTTCCCTGGCCAGTCTGCCTTGGGCCTTGCCTCACAATGACCGCCCCATCATTCAGCTTCATTCATCTGCTCACTGTTTCAGGACTGCTCTGTCACTCAGCACGCTGCCTAGGTGAGTTGTGTGTGCGTGTGCATGTGTGTGTGCATGTGTGCATGTGCCCATTCTTGAGAAAAAAGACTCTTGGAAAGCAGACTTGTTCTGGGAACAGGCTTTAAATTTTAAAAATTTCAGCCAGTGTTGAAATTAGAATGAAAAGGGGTTTCAAGGTGGAGTTGGCAGGGACCTTGTGTCCATGTTCACGTGTACCTCTGTGACCTTGATTTTAAGCTGGCAGGCTGGCAGCTGCAGCTCCCTGGGCTTTAGAATAAAATCTTGTTCTGTAGTCCAGGGTTCTCTGGTATTGGGTGGCAAAGACACCTCTCTCACTCTCCAAGTGAACTGGCTTAGTGTAGCTCAGAAGCCCAGTCACCAAACTGCCAAATTGTTGTTTTCTTCATCTGGCCCACTCAGGAGAAAATTGCAGATGACAAACTTCTATCACAGTATTTCAGAGAATTTCAAATTACTTTCAATTTTTAGGATCAGAATTTGTTTTTTTAGAGTTTGCGTGAGGGTTGAAAGAAATTCGTAGGGTACAGCCGTAAATTGGGGGAAACTTGGGGGCAAATTGCAGCCAGTTAATGTGAGAATTTTATTGTAGCTGAGATGCCCAACTCCCAGTAAGGGGACTGAGAGCTGCAATGGCCTGTGTGCCCTTGGCCTTCTCTCCATCCTGGGTCGCTTTCTCGTGCAAGTTCCCGTAAGCAGGGAAGGGCCCCAAAGCAGGAGGAAGAAAAAGTAAAATGTTGGCAAGTTCCCCAACTGGACAAGCAGGTGCAGAACAGTTATTTTGCAACCTGTTACAGGCAGGGTGCTTATGTCACATCTTTCCTTTGGTGGCTTCTAAGGACACATTTGCTGGATTTGAGAGGGGCTGCTTGATGCTAATACAGGAGGCAGAAATGGAAAAGCCTGTCTTTAGTAACCCGGGCTGTGAGTGGGGGGATGAAATGGATACAGTGGTGATCATATCCGTATCATGTCAGATATATTTCAGAAAGGACTCTGCAGATGGCTTGGGCAAAAACCCTGTGGTATAGATGAGGCAACTAAGTCCCACACTGAGGAAGTAAGTTGTACTGGGTCACATGACCACTTGTACCCAGGCTTACACTCTTTGATCCAAGTCCATTTCTTTCCAAGAGTAATTTGGAATTAATCACTTTCCAAGGATATGCCTCAGTTTCTCAAAATGAAACAGGATAAAGGATCTTTTTCAAGAGTCCAACAGGTAAAACCAACATCGACAATAGCAAAACAACAACAACAACAAAACCCCCAACCTAACATATACTTGCCCAAAGCCTGCATCAAACAATTACCCACAGTTTGACCATGCAGTGGCCACATACTATATGACTTTGATGGCTTTAAGTCAGGGCAAGCAGTACTGAAATTCTGTGAGAGTTGGCACTTCCAAGGCAGCTGCCTGGGGCAGAGCCATGGGGCATACCCTGGTCTCTGGGGCTCTGTGTATGTACACACACAGTTGTTTACAACAGTGCCTGCTGGGGCTTTTTCAGACTGAACCCTGAGCTCAGACATGATTCCACAGAGATAGCACAGGCTAAAGACCCACAGGCCACTCGGGTGACACCAAAATAGACATGTGAAGTCCTGGCTTAGTTGACTGGGAGGGAGGAGCTGGGGGAAGCTGCTCCCAAACACGTCCACCTGATGGAAATATTCTCAGCTGGAATGAGCTGTAAATAAACTAGACTGCTAAAAACAAACAGCTCCAGGGAGAAGGGGGAAGGGCAGAAATAGATGGCCTTCACCTGCTGGGAGTGAAGTGGGTCAAGGGGAAGGGTGAGGAGGAATGGGGTGGGAGAGGGAACACTGCAGATGCCTCAACAGGAAAAGCAACGGATAATCTGTGGTTGCTGAAGAGGTCTCCAGTTTCCAGGAAGAAATGAGAGAAGTTATTGCTTTGAATGATGCAAGGTCTTTCACCAGTGGAAGGCCGCACAAGGTGCAGGGTGAAGGAAGGCATCGGAGGCCATATATGGTCTGGAAAAATAATGGTAATGACTGCAAATTAGCTGTGCGGACATGCCAGCCTCCCAGGTGTTCCCAGCTGGGACAGGCTTTGTGGAAAACCGCAGCCTCAGCCCTTAGCTGTCTGCTGAGGCACAAGAGAGGGAGGAAGGCTCGGCACCCATAGCATAGTGGTTAAGGCACCAGCCACATACACCAAGGCTGGTGGTTCGAACCCAACCCCGGGCCGATTAAACAACAATGACAACTGCAACAAAAAATAGCCAGGTGTTGTGGTGGGCGCCTGTAGTCCCAGCTACTTGGGAGGCTGAGGCAAGAGAATTGCTTAAGCCCAAGAGTTTGAGGTTGCTATGAGCTGTGACGCTACAGCACTCTACTGAGGGCAACATAGTGAGACTCTGCCTCAGAAAAGAGAGAGAGAGGGAGGTAAAGGAGAAATTGTAGCCAGTGGACCTTAAAAGGGTACCTGACAGCCTTCTCCACATGCCCACGGTCGGGTGGAACAACCGAAATCATGCTTTAGCCACACAACATTCCAGGGAAGAAACTGTAAGAGGAATACGTTGATGTTAACATCAAGCTCTGGAACAATATCGATATATTATCTTATTGCTAAGAAAGAGAAAAGCAGCCCATGACAGCTGGAGCTGACCAGACCCAGATGGCACGGTGTTCTCCTGCTGTCACGGAACACCAACATCAGCCAGAGCCACCCTGTGACTTCCATGGATCAAGACAAAAGCAAGGGTCACTCTATAATCATGAGTGAACACAGATGAAAACAAAATTATCATCCAGCCCCCGACATGACCAAACATTCTCCCATCCTTGCTAATAGGAATGATTGCTACTTTTTTTTTTTAAGCTCCAGTCATTCTTGGAGTACATGTTTTATTGTTTTTTAAACCAATCACTGCTTTAGTCTTGCTCTGTTTTCTTCTAGATAAAAATTAAGATACCCACTTATAGAATAGCCCTTGCTTCCTGACATCTTCCAATCCAGAGGGAAGCTGCATTTTGTTTCTTCTTAGTGTCTCCCCAGATCACCTAGCAAAAGCCCAATCTTAATGCTCTCTTACTGAGAGGCCCCACAGAGGCCCCCGGTGTACATCCTCCCTTATTGCACTGAGTCAGCAAACCCCACTTGGTTCAACTGTAGGTGTGTTCCCATGGTCTTTGGTGGTGGCATTGATGCTGCAGTCTTGAGCAGTGGTTATAGGACCTGCCTTCTTCTTAGCTCCCAACCTTCATTTTTACCCACATGGAGTCATAGTGTAGAGTTCAAGAGGAGGTGCCCCAGAGCCAGATTGCCCGGCTCTGTCACGGATTAGCTATATGACTTTAGGAAGGTTGCTTAATCTCTGCCTCCATTAGCTGACCTGTAAATGGGGATGGTGATAATAGCACTTAGCTTTCAGGGTGGCTGTGAGGGTTCAGTGAATTCATATGAGTGAACTATTTAAATGGTGCCTTGTATGTGGTGTTTGTCATTAATATTATTAATTCAGGTTAGGCATAGTGGCTTATGCCTGTAATCCTAGCACTGAGGGAGGCCGAGGCAGGAGGATCAATTGAGCTCAGGGGTTCGAGACCAACCTGAGCAAGAGAAACACACTGTCTCTACCAAAAATAGAAAAATTAGCTTGGCATTATGTCTGGTGCCTGTAGTCCCAGCTACTTGGGAGAATCTCTTGAGTTCAAGAGATCCAGGTTGCTGTGAGTTAGTCTGACGCCACTGCACTCTGGTCTTGGTGACAGAGTGAAAAAAGAAAAAAAATATATATGTATTATTAATTTAGCAAACATTTATGGAGTGCCTAGTGTATGCCAGGTACATTGCTAGACCCTGAGGATAAAACCTGGCGCCTGCTCTCCCAGAAAGCACAGTTTACTCAGGGAGATGCAGTTCCTCCCATAGAAAAGAGCTAACAGGGGTAAACTCAGAGAAAAACATAGGCGAAAAAACACTCAACTTTGGCTTAGGAAGTCAAGGAAAACTCCTGGTGGAGGCGGCACCTGCACGATCTTGATGAATAAATAAGTCTCCAGGGCTGGGCTGCATATGGTAGGGCAGAGGACAGGATAAGTGCAAAAGGATCATCCAAGCATCACAGGTACCTATCATCTACAGCCATCATGTGGGCATCTTTCTGCCTCCCATAAGGGCTGGTCCAGTGCCTGGCAAAGTGTGTGCTCAAGTGAATAAATGCCTAACACCCAATTTGGCAGCGGTCCCCATAAACTAGAACCTCCTCTGACTTTTCCGTGCCATACTGTGATCACTGTTGCCCAGGTCCCCTGCAACTTCAAAATCACCATCGATTCTCCCTCCTCTTTCCCTCCTACAACACAGCAACCCCCAGGTCCCTTCTCCCCAGTAGTGTCTGCATCCGTCCCTTCCCTCCTGTCCTCACACACTGGACAGGCCTGACATGCTGACTCCACATCTGGCTGTCTGCAAGCTGCCATTGTCCACACTTGGTGCACTACTTGATTCTGTCACCTCTACTCCTCACCTGCTGTGACTCCCTACTGCTTTCTAAATAAAGCTCAGACCTTTCATGGGGCATCCAAAACTGCACAGTCTAGCCCCAAACTGACTTTCCAGCCTTCCTGCCACCTCTCCAGTGATCCCCACGCAGAAGCTTCTAGCTTCTGCACTGTATTAATGTATTTTGAAGTGCTTGCCTGCTCTTGACCCCTCTTGGAAGATGTCCTCCCACAGTCTCTGATGTGCTGGCAATAGACCCTGAGATCCTACTGGCTGGGCCTGGGTAGGCTCTGGGCAGGAGTCCCACTGATCTAGAACCTGGCTAGGTGCTCATATTCCTGTCCTGGATATTTAAAATAAGAGCCACAAGGGATGTTCCAGACACAATGGAGGCTGGAGGTAGAAGGGTTAAGACCTGGCCAGTCGCCATGGTGGGGAGGGAGGCTTGCAGATACAAAGAAGGCAGAATGGATATCTAGAAAGAAGTGCAAAAGAGAAGAGGGGGCAGGGGAAATGCAAGGGAGGATCATGTCCCCATTGATGTCTTGGTTCCAGCTCTTTCTGAAATTTTTTACTCTTACAATAAATCCTCCTTCTTCCCTAAGCCACTGTGAATGGACTTCTGCTCTTGAAATTAAAGTAGCCCTAACTGGGCGTGGTGGCTCACACCTGTAATCCCACCGGCACTTGGGAGGCTGAGGCAGGTGCATTGCCTGAGCTCAGGAGTTCAAGACTAGCCTGAGCTAGAAACCCGTTTCTAAAAATAGCCGGGTGCTGTGGCTGGCGCCTGTAGTCACAGCTACTTGGGAGGCTGAGACAAGAGAATTGCTTGAGCCCAACAGTATGAGGTTGCTGTGAGCTATGATGCCACAGCACTCTATCAAGGGTAACAAAGTGAGACTCTGTTTCAAAAAGAAAAAAAAAATTAAAGTAGCCCTGAACAGACCACTGTCTCTCTCCTGCCATTTCTCCCTCTCTCTGGGTAGTCTTCCCTCCTTCCATCTTCCTAGCTCCAGGTGGCCCTTCAAGACCTACTCTAGACAACTTCCTGAGACATTTATTTCCTAGGTCTGGAAGATGTCCTTTCTGAATCCTTCTTGACCTTCCTAAATCAGCACAAATGCGATCTTTTTAGAAAGCAGCCCTGGTCCATCCCAGCTGGTGGTTACCTGTTGTTCTTGCTTCTTTGAATTCCTTCAGTCGCTCATTCACTTGTATGGCCTAGAGCAGATGCTGCTTTCGCTTTCGTGTTGGGGTGCTGGGTCCTATGGAACTGTTTATGACAAGGCCAATCACCAAGCCTGGGATAGGCTCACAGTTTCCAATGGGGCCATTTTGGAAATTTTCAGGGTACTTTTGGTCATTCGAGAGGCTGAGATGGGTGGCGCCACTGCTCTTGTGCTGGGCCAGGGGTGAGAGATGCTGTGCAGAGGGCAGGACAGAATCATGCATCAAGTATTGTCCCATGTCCTACATGACTTTGAAACGTCCCATGGGACATTCATACCTATATATAATTATCTCATTCTAGAACTGAATTCTCTTTCACATACAATTTTTTTTTTTTTTTGCACTCTAACTGAGCTTTTGAGACTATAAATAACTACTGAGTGATGACTGTACTTTGGCTGGCTGGGACTTTCACCCAGTGTTGTTAATCATTTTAGGAAATCCCATCACCTGGTGAACATACCCCTTGTGGTATATCAGTTGTTAATGCTACAACCTGTATTTGTGTATGTTGCAGTCACTGTACTTGCACACACATGGGTTGTCCCAAAAGCTGCTGTACAAAGGGAAAATGGGAAGTTGTAGCTACACATACCTTTACTTACAAAATATTCATCATAAAATTTTACAAAATATTTTTGAAAATATTGTCTATGTATTGGCCACCTCTTTGTAAAACTTTGTAATGAATATTTTGTAAATCAAAGTACATTTAGCTACGACTTCCCATTTTTTCTAACGGCAGCACTATGCATTCTCTTATGGGTGTGCCTGACCACTTATAATTGAAATACACATTTTCTATCATAATGCTTTCTTATATTTGTTTTTTGTGTCACATTCAGAGCTTGATATTTTATCTTTTAAATTGTGAATTTCATTTCAAGATAATAAAGGTATCTTTACAAAACATTTCTCACAAAAAGGGCGCTGGGCCTGAGAGGGCTGAGGACCATTGGATAGGCCAGTGGATTGCTCCACCATTAAGGGTCTCAGGTTGTGGATGTGCGTGGGGCCACTATTCCTGGGTGCACTGGGGCTGACACAAATGGTCACACAACCTGGTTATTTCTGGGGAGCACCCAGCATTTACTTGCCTGGTATCTAAGGCAGGTTGTGGCATATCAGGTAGAGACAACAGGCATCACCAGCCCCTGGGAGAGAAGACAGAAAACTGGGATAAGGGCTGAGAGCACATGGTGGTGAACTTGCAGGTGTTCTGAGAGGTCTAAGTTTCCATGAAGGGGGCGGTGAGGGTACCATTGTGAAACCAAAATTGGGAGCTGAAAAATCCCAATTTTGAGCAATTATGGAATATTGCTTCTACGAACATTCTGGTACATGTGTTTTACTGAAAATACACTCACTTGGGGTGGCGCCTATGGCTCAAAGGAGTAGGGTGCTGGCCCCATATACTGGAGGTGGCAGGTTCAAAGCCAGTCCCGGCCAAAAACTGCCAAAAAAAAAAAAAAAAATACACTCACTTGTCTTTTAGTAAATCTCTAAGTGTAAAATTGCTGGCCTATAGTGTGTGTCTATGTTCAGCTTTAATAGAAAATATCAAGCAATTTCCAAAGAGGTTATGTCAATTTATATTCCCGCCAGCCAAAGTTTGACAGTTCTGGCCCTTCCCCATTCTCGCCATATTCGTTATTGTCTGTCCTTTTCATTGTAGCCATCTGGTGGGTGCATGTTGGTATCAATCCAACTAACATCTGTAATGTTCAGAATGGATCAGTAGACCGTGATGCAGTCACAGTGACCAACAGTAACAGTCACATGCAGCCTGGGTGATCCCCACAGGCTGTGCTGAGGGAGAGAAGCCAAAGACAAACGTTCATATTTTATGATTCCATTTACATAAAGTTCGAAATTAGGCACAATGAATCCTTGCTGTTTAAACTCAGGATGGTGGCAGGGTAGAGGGGGAATGCAGAGGTTGGAGCTGCAGGGGCTTCTGGATTTGGGGGAGTTCTGATCTCAATCTGAGTGCTGGTTTCTGTTGGGCTGTAACACACTCTCCGTGCTTGTTGGAAGGCACACTTCAACTCTGCCGAATGCTAACGTGGAACGTGGGTGAGACTCCCTAGGAAGTAAGCTATAAAGGGCCTTCCCTTCATCTCCTCACACTTAGGATTAGGCCACCCATACTCTGAGGCATCACGCTGTGACTCTCTAGAGAGATGGTGACACTCGAATGTGTGTGTAGAGTTGAGAGTCAATATAAGGGTTTTAAACAGTGAGTCTGGGTCTCCTGTAATCAATGAATTTGGTCGATTCTGCCTCCCTGTCTAAACAATTTCCTTGAGTATAACATCAAAGTTATTAACACACACTTTCTTCTCCCCAGCTGGGAGTGCATTCTCAGTCTGTAGGAACTTTGCATGCTGCCACATCTACAAAGTGACAAGTCAGTATCTGAAAAAGGAGAAATGGACCCTGTAGTGGTCACAGTACCCATAGCCTCTGTTCATTTATTAACCATCTTAGTTCAGCAAAGGTAAGCGCAGGGCTATGTCAAGCAATCAGGAGGTACGCTTATATCTAAGAGGTTATAAATTAGATTCGGAAGTCTGGGGTGGCAGCATGGGTCTCTCCAGGCATGGTGGGCATGACAGAGGCCCTAGCACTGACCTCATTAACGAGCAGCAGTTTTCTCTGGACAGCCCTTCCCAGCTTGGATCAGAAGAAGCGTGGTGGCCACAAAGCATGCTGCCTGCCGACACCCCCACCACCGCCACTGTTCCCACCACCATCTTTCAGAGGGGGCCGCAGTCCGGTGAGTACATTAGGGCCCACTACGCAGCCCTCTCCATCTCCCCCATACTCAGCGTAAGCTGCCTCCAGGATCTTTCCGGACAGACTCAACCTTCACTCGCCCAGAGGTTGAGCCCCGGAATGGACAGTTTGTAGTTTCTGGGGCCTAGTCCTTCTCCAGCTATTTAAAATAAGGCATGGAGGGGATGTTTCTCAGCAGGGAATTGGATTTGGCAGTGTCTCATCTTCTTGAGAACAATGAGGTGAATTTCTAACTTTCTGGATTCCTATCAGTTGCTCACGTATGGAATTTCCCTTTCTGTTTTTCTTCTCCTCCAGTATTATATGTATGAAATTCCCTTCCACAGCCTATGTCTTATGTACAGACTATTTCCATGAAGTGCCTCAGGAAATAATCCTGTAACCACAGTGAGGTGTGAGAGGGAACAGAGAATTTGGGAAGAGAGGACAAGATGAGGAAATGAGCAGCATCGGGACACTGACCTTGCAGACAACAGGCCAAGGCATCCTAGGGACTTGGGATTGTCAGCTGTTTCCGGAAACTGTTAGCCGTACACTGTCCAATACAGGTGCCACTGGCCTTAGATAATTATCAGGCACTTTCAGCATGGCTAGTTCAAATCAAGATATCCTGTAAATGTAAAATATACATCAGATTCTGAATACTTAGTAAGAAAAAAAGAATGCAAGGTATCTCATTAATAACTCTTTTATACTGTATATATGTTGAAATGCTAGTATTTGGGGTATGTCAAGTTAAATAAAATGTGTTATTAAAATTGACTTCACGGCTGGGTGTCATGGCTCATGCCTGTAATCCTAGCGCTTTGGGAGGCCAAGGTGGGCGGAGGAGTCTGAGACCAGCCTGAGCAAGAGCAAGACCCCATCTCTACTAAAAATAGAAAAAAACTATCTGGGCCGCTGTGATGGGTGCCTGTAGTTAAAGCTACTCAGGAGGCTGAGGCAAGAGGATCACTCAAGCCTAAGAGTCTACAGTTGCTGTGAGCTGCGATGACACCACAGCACTCTACCCAGGGCAACAGAGTGAGACTCTAACTCAGAAAAAAAAAATTAATTTCACTTGTTTCCTTTTACCTTTTTAAAAGACAAAAATGTGGCTACCAGAAAACTAGAATGTCCCTCTCACTGGTGGCTGACATTACATTTCTCTTTTTTTTTTTTTTTTAGAGGAAAAATGTCTATTTTTTGAAGCATGAAAAAGAGTAAGCAAAAACTGGTGTGACATTTCATTTCTAAGTCTTCTCAATGAGATTATAAAACACTCAGCTGCTTACTCTTTGCAAGCTCTTAAAAGTGTCTAGAAGTTCATAGTTAGTATGATATAAAAAGGCACTTATAGCATGTGAATTGATTTTTAAAACTCAAAGATATAATTGAAATTGCTTTGAGAAAAGTTTCTCAAATATAGACTCCCAAACAAATTCAGGACTTCACATTTTCCTCTTTTCCAAAACGTAAACTAGCATTTTCCCCATCTTACCTATAGACATCATAAACATGGGCAGCCTTCTCCCACTTCGGTTCTTCATACAGATAAATAGAAAAGCAAGTTAAAATTAATTTGTCTGCTTTTCTTCACTTTAATCTTCATTTTGCTTAAGATAAAACAAAATTCATTATTTGTAACCAAGGTCTTTCAGAATGGCATTACATTCCTGTTGGACAGTGTTCTCCTGGACACTGGGTAAAGCCCTCAATCCAGCTTCCTGACTCTATATCCAAGTAGCCGTTACACCTCTGTAATCCACTCAAGCCAGGCTTGTCTCAAGAGAGAGAACAGGTGAGAGAACAGAAACTGGTGGCCTAGAATGTTGTCATCTTGGGACACTCATTGGAGTACCAGGAAACTGACGGTCTTGGGGACCTAACTGACCCTGGAGCAGATCTGTGTCCAGGGTGGGGCCCCGTCCTCTGTCCCCTAAGTCTGACCTCTGTCCCTGTGTTGCTTTGCGCTGAAGTTTCTCTCCCCAGACATGAAGAACCTCATCTTGGAACTGGAGACCTCGCAGTCCCCGTGCATGCCAGGCTCGCTCGGCTCCCCTGGGCCTCCTGGCCCCCAGGTGGGTGCTCTATTCCAGACCCCTCTGCTGTATTCTTTTCAGAGCAGGCAAGCCCACTGGGCACAGCCCCTTGGAGTCTGCCCCTTCATGGTGATACAGGGCTATTTCCCTCTCTCTCACTTACCTTCTGCTCCAGAGCCATATGGATAGACCCCTGACTCCTCTCCTAGAGAATTCTGGCCTCCCAGTCAGGATTTCCTCGTCTAAGCAATGGGGATAATAATTGCTCCTGCTGTCTTGGATGTCAGAGGGAATCACGTGAGCTGCTGCCTATGTGGATGTGGTTGTTATTCCAGTTATCAGCACACAGACCCTCAGTGACAGTACCCCATGTGCTCATTGACGCCCCTCTCTGTGGACCTCTCAAAGATGCCTGCATTCAGTGCTGAAAAGTGGAGGCAAAGAGAATTTGTCACTCTGCGCTTCACTGGGCCCCTAAGTACTGCTACCAAGCATCCCACCCCTCCCCTAAGCTAAAGGGAAGAGTGAGGAACAGCAAAATGCTAGAGAAAGGGCTTTTTTTATTTTTAGAGAAAGGACTTTCTAAATAAGCAAAAAAAAAAAACACCCTCTGGCGACCCCACCTTCCAGGCTCCTGGCTCTTCTGGCTCACCTCTGGGAGGGGGCTCCATCAATGAGAGACCTCCCTGGCCTGGGCCCTGGGCCTGGGCCTTCCATGGGAGGAGAGGGAGGGTATAAGGAGCAATCAGTTCTCCAAGTGCTTCGCATGAAGGGGACATAGAAATCATGTCATGTCCTATTCCCCTGGGTCCTCCCTCCTGCGGCTTCCCAAAACAGGAAGACTGAGAAGTAAACTCTTACTCTTGGATCACAGAGCTCCCCTAGAGGGGACTCTGGCCTGTATCAACTGCATCATCTCACACCACCTCCACTGTCCTCTCCACTCAGCCAGAGGGACCATCTCTTGGGTCCTGAAACACTCCAAGCCTGTTTCAGCCTTAGGGCATTTGTGCTGTAGTTCTTATAGTTTGAGATGTTCTTCACTCTGGTTTTTATCACGGCCAGCTCTGCTGGACACTCGGTTTTTACGGTGTCTTCAACCACCCCGTCTGAAGCAGTCCCCCTTACTAATCACTGTCCGTCTGTCACAATAATCTGTTTTCATTCTCTGACTTTTCCCATCCTGTTGCAGTTCTCTCTTTCTTCTCTCCACCCCATTTTGTTCCTGATCTCTTGGTCATCCCTCTATAAAATGCAAGCTCGGTGGTGGGGGTTGGCACACTGCACTCACCAGCCCAATCTTACAGCAGCCTGTTTTAAACTTCCACTAAAGTCTCATCATCTATGGCTGCTTTTGCACCACAAGGGCAGAGTTGACTAGTTTGGGCAGACACTAAACGTGGTCCACGAAGCCGAAGGCATTTAGTATCTAGCCTTTTACAAAAGAAGCTTACTGACCCCCAGTCTCTGGGAACAGGGGCACTATCCCTCTTGCTCACTGCTGTGTTCTGGTCTACAGCAGGGTGTGGGTTATAGGAGGTGCTTCATATCGATTTGTTGAATGCAAGAAAGAAAACAGGACTCTGGCCAGAGGCTGCCACAGAGGAGCTGGGAAGTCTGGCCAGAGGCTGCCACAGAGGAGCTGGGAAGTCTGCAGAATGGCGAGGTGGAAATCCTCTAAGGAGCATTTCTATCTTCCCAATCTTAGCAGTCTACTCTGACAGATCTCGGGCACGTGGGAAGCTATGGAATATGGAAAAGAAGATGGGATTCTTTGCTCATCTCAGAATAGTAGCTCTCTGGTCACACTTGCACACCTCTGACTGTGTGCAGTCCCATTTGAGGCACAGGCAGTCTGGGTTGCCCAACTACAGGGTCTATGGAGCCACCTCCGTCCCCTACTCAAAGTGAAATCCCTGGCCCAGCAGGTTGGCATCTTATGGAAGTTGGTTAGACATGCAGAATCTCATCTCCTCCCCTAACTCACTCAATCAGAATCTGTATCTTACCAAGACACCACCCTTCCACCCAGTGAACGGACTAAATCACCTGAGCATTGAAGTTGGAGAAGCACCAAGCTAGAGCAGTGACCTTGTAAAACTCTTTCACTTCGAGAAATGGAAATGGAATGAACAGAATGAAGTAAAAAAAAACTCTCCCTCTTCCTTATCCCCAAACAGAAAGTGAATAAACCAAAGATGGTGGTTCTCAGACTTATCTGCTAATTCCAGTCCCTAGGGAGCTTCAAAAATTGCCCAGGCTTGTGCCCCTCCCCTGGAGACTGTTATTTAGTTGGTCTGCTTGGTGGGGTGGGGCTTTGGGATTTTTCAAAGAATCCAAGAAATTGTAATGTGCAGAGAGGTTTGAGAACCACTTGTTGGGGAGTGGGGGCTGCTCTTTGGTAAGGGCAAGTTTCTGGAAAGATTATTTTAAACAGGTTTTGCATTGTGCAAATTCACCTGCAGATCTTGGGGTACAGTGAGTCCCTGAGGGATTTTCCCCTCTGCTGTTCTGAGAAATTTGGAAAGCAACTCACTGAGAATTTCACAGATGCAAGAGCAAAAAACCCCTGCATTCTGGCTGTGGGTACGCAAAGCTTTGGTGCAGTGGGTTCTAGAGTCTCTGAGCTGGAGTCAATTCCACCCCTGTGGCTGGGCAATGGGACAAAAACCGCACTATTTACTTGCCCATATTCTTACCATCTTCCTTTCCCTGCTGAAGGAAGGCAGAAGAGAGTTATTTGGCACCTGGTACCCACAGATCAACCATGGGAATTTCTAAGTTGGCTGTTGCCATGTGCAAAACTTAACTTCTCTCTCAGCAGGGCCCCAGGGAAGTTCAGTAGCGGTAGCTGAAAAGATACGAGAGGTGGCAAAGTCTCCTGTTTTCAGCAAATGGAATTTCTTCAAGACTCTTCAGTTGCTCTCACCGAGAACTTGAGATGTTTCAGGCAACCAAAGGGTTCCAGGGAGAAAATTATAATCACAGGCTCAGCACCCATAGTTCACTGGGTAGTGTGCAGGCCACATACACTGAAGCTGGTGGGTTCAAACCTGGCCTGGACCAACTAAACAACAATGACAACTGCAACAAAAAATAGCCGAGCGTTGTGGCAGGCACCTATAGTCCCAGCTACTTGGGAGGCTGAGGCAAGAGAATCACTTAAGCCTATGAGTTTGAGATTGCTGTGAGCTGTGATGCCACGGCATTCTACCCAAGGCAACAGCTTGAGATTTTGTCTCAAAATAATAATAATAATAATGATTATAATCACAGAGAGTAGATGTGTAACCCTTGCAGCCATGGAACCACTGGAAACTCAGCACAGAGACAGCTAATGAGGAGGAACAGAAGAGGGTATGAGAGGGGCCTCGTGGGTCCTTGAACTCCACATCTGCGTGGGGAGTGAGGCTGCTGCTGTAGGAGTCCAGTGCTCTCTTGGTCTGATTTATACTTTCTTCACTTCTGTTGATTGTTTAGGGACCACCAGGACTTCCTGGCAAGACAGGACCAAAGGGAGAAAAGGTAGGAGCTCCTACTTTCTCCTTCAACCTCTCCTTGGTAATTCCAGCCTGTTTTCTTGGGGTGGCACCAAACTTTTCCGGTTGAGATTTCTAGACATGTGCTAGTTCTGCCTCAGCACATGAGGATGGGCTGCATCATAGCCGAGCTGCTGCAGCTGGTGCGGGACACCACTGGTGTGTTTGGACTTGGCCACTGGAAGGGCTGGGGTGCTGTGAGCGGCCATGCAAATGAGCCTCATGGCCATGCCCAGTCCTCAGCCCTCCTAAGCCCTTCGTTTCTCAAATAACCTCTCCTTATCTCTCTTCTCCATCCACAGGGGGAGCTTGGCCGACCAGGAAGGAAGGTATGGCAGCATCACCTGGGCAACTGTGCTCCCTGTGCATGTGGTGTATGTGTGCTCCTAGGGCTGCTGCCAGCAGCACGCTTCAGGGGCCACCAAGAAATACTCAGGTGGACAGCGAAGGGGCTGCCATCCCTATGACAACAGTAGTAACCTTGTCCTTCCTTCCAAATCTGTGGGTCAGGAGCTGGAGCCTGCTACTGCCAGGCATTCAGTCTTCTTACAGGGGCTGCCAAACCTGGCCAAATTTCCCTGGCCTCAGACCATCTCGTCCTGCCATCCATCAGAGAAACCTCCAAGGCCCCAACCATTAACACAGAATAACTCTCACTGTCTATTTGATTAAACTGGAATAAAGTGCCAGAGCAGACAGAAACAAATGGCTTTTGCTTTTTGGCTCAGCTGAAATAAGTGGGAGTTACTTAAGGTCACAGTGACTCTGAGTGAACCAAACACATGTTATCAAGCCTCTCCTTAGTGTCAAGAGGGAGTAAATCAGGGTGGCGCCTGTGGCTCAGTGGGTAGGGCGCCGGCCCCATATACTGAGGGGTGGTGGGTTCGAACCCGGCCCTGGCCAGCTAAAACAGCAGTGGCAACTATAACAAAAAATAGCCAGGCATTGTGGCAGGTGCTTGTAATCCCAGCTTCTAAGGGAGGCTGAGGTAAGAGAATTGCTTAAGCCCAAAAGTTGGAGGTTGCTGTGAGCTGTGATGCCACAGCACTCTACCAAGGCAACAGAGTAAGACTCTTGTCCCCCCCTCCCCCAAAAAAAGAAAGAAAAAAAAAAGAGGGAGTAAATCAGCAAGCGACTATACCTACTGTGGTCGGTGGATCCTGGCACTGAATTTCTAGGTCTTATTAATAGAAAGGGTACAAAACTTTGGCCCAGAAAGATGCCCATAGATCTAAATATACATGACTGTATTTCTCATTAAATGTTTTATTCAAATGGTTTCACTCTTTGCAAGAACCTTAAACAGCCCTTTGCAAGGCAAAGTCACAACTTTTTAGGCACACATGAAAACTCTAGCCAAGGCATAGCTGAAGTGCTGGGCTGGAGAAGATTCTGGGGTGGCTCCATGCTCACACCCAACAAGGACCATGAGTGATTAGTGACACCTGCATGGACATGGGAGGCTAGAGTAGAAACCAGCACACACACCAACGTTTGGCATCTCTGGTTTAGGGGCCGAACCCTGCACATCTCTAGCTAACTGTGTAATTAGCCGATGGGTGCAGAGGTCAAGAGAGACCCCTAGTCCCTGCTCCCACTCTTTCTTGTAGGACTCCATAGTTCTGGCCTGACAGAGATAGGGTCAGCACGTATCATGTGCAAGTGAATAAATCATTAAGGGAGCACTCCAAAGAGGGAGGGGAGTGGGAGAAGCTGGGGGGTGGAGTTGTGGTGTCAGGTGAAGCCCAGCCTCTGTGGCTTCATCTCTACGGGAGACCAGGAATGTGAATTGCCCCACAGCTTGTCCTGCCTTGAGGTGAGGGAGCTGGGCTCTTGGCTGCAGGAAGAAGAGGCACATGGTTACTAGGCAGTTCCAATGACCTGGTAGCAGGAACCAACTGCTAACAGCGAGGAAGGCAGCTCCTGGGGATGGGCGCTGAGCAGGTGAAAAAGACCTCAAGGAGAACCAACAACATTTGCTACTGCTCCCCAAACACACTCCTGTCTTATTCCACAGCATGTCCTGGGGGAGAAGCCATGGGAATGCAGGGGACGTTTGAGGAGGTGGTATGGAGGTGATGGAGACTGAAAAACCAAGAACTTGGGCTGGGCCCAGTGGTTCACACCTGTAATCCTAGCACTTGGGAGGCCGAGGCAGGTGGATTGCCTAAGCTCAAAGGTTCAAGACCAGCCTGAACCAGAGGAAGACCTTATCTCTAAAAACAGCTGGGCACTGTGGCAGGCTCCTATAGTCCCAGCTATGTGGGAGACTGAGGCAAGAGAATGGCTTGAAACCAAGAGTTTGAGGTTGCTGTGAGCTGTGATATCACAGCACTCTACTGAAGGTGACAAAGTGAGACTGTCTCCAAAAAAAAAAAGTAAAAAGAAAAAACAAAGGGCGGCGCCTGTGGTTCGAAGGAGTAGGGTGCCGGCCCCATATGCCAGAGGTGGTGGGTTCAAGCCCAACCCTGGCCAAAAACTGCAAAAAAGAAAACCCAATAAGTTTAAAATCCCTTTCCCACCACCATCTATTTCTTAAGTAGAATAAGATCTTTTTTTTTTTTTTTTTTTTTGAGGCAGAGCCTCCAGCTATCCTCCTGGGTAGAGTGCTGTGGCATCACAGCTCACAGCAACCTCCAACTCCTGGGCTCAAGCGAGTCTCCTGCCCCAGCCTCCCAAGTAGCTGGGACCACAGGTGCCCGCCACAATGCCTGGCTATTTTTTTGGTTGCAGCCGTCATTGTTGTTTGGCGGGCCAGGCTGGATTCAAAACCACTGCCTTAGGTGTACGTGGCTGGTGCCTTAGCCACTTGAGCCACAGGTGCCAAGCCTAGAATAAGATCTTGTTTGGTGATAATACATGACACCTGGGTTTTAACTTATACCTAAGTAACCCAGGTTTTGGGGCTATCAGTCTTTGGTGGGGGGGATGAGAGTTGTGGGGACCATACTTGAAGGTGTCATCCTCCCTTCTGGACCCCAGAGACAAATCTTATTTCTTGGAAATCAAGAAAAAACCCCACGTGTTCTGACTTTTGATCTTGGTCTTTGAAGGGTAAACCTGGCCCCCCAGGAGTTCCTGGCATGCCTGGGCCTGTCGGCTGGCCAGGCCCTGAAGGACCCATGGTAAGTGTGGTATGCTCTTGGGGTTCTTATGGTGTCAGAACAAGAGGAGGGGGAATGGCAGCTCCCTTGGCCCTTGGCACATACTCAATGAATTACTTCCTCAAGAAGAGAAAGAAGAGAGTTTGAGGACCATCCACAGGTCCCCAAACTCTTCCCCCTTCACTTGGACTGTAAGACCTTGGTTAGTGCAATAGCTCTGTTTCTGTGGTTGGAGAAAAGAGAGGCAGCTCCCCTCTTTCACAGGGGCCCTGGTTCTCCTTCGTTTTCAGATTTAGCAGCCTGTTATTTGGTTTCCTGAGGTGACTTAAGAGGGGCTTGTTCCTGGGAAGCTCTTGCCAGTCTTGCTGATCTGGTAGGGAGTAGAGGGTTGATAGGGTGTGGTGGCTGGCTGACAGATGGCAATCCTATATTCAGGGAGGGACTGCCAAGTGCTGATGAAATTCCTTCCTCAGTTAGGGTATAGAAGGCAAACATACTCCTGCCTGTGCCTCCGTTTATGTTCTTCTCACGGGTGGCCATAGACTAGAGGTTCAGAGGCCAGGACTCAAGAATTTCACCCACAGATGTCAGGGCTGGACAGGTAGATAACATCATCTTTTGTGATTCACTTTCTGAATGTATGATGGGAGTAGACAACTGTGTTTCCAATCCTCTTAGGAAAAGTCTTAAGGAAATTTCTTTTAAAAATCCTCTTTATAGAGCTGAGCTAACATGGCAGCCATTAGCCACATTGACTCTTTAGCCCCCCAAGTGTGGCTAGTACAACTAAGAAACTAAGCTTTTAAATTTTAAATAATTTAAGCTTGAATTTTAAAACCTTTACTTAATCCTGTTATTTGAAAACACTTAAATATGTTTGGAGCAAGTTGAATGTGTGACTCACTTATTCAACCATAAATTTTATGGAATCTACATACAGATCAAGTATTTTCAATTAGGCTCGGCGCCTATAGCTCAACCGGCTAAGGCACCAGCCACGTATACCTAAGGTGACGGGTTTGAATCCCCAGCCCAGACCCGCCAAACAACAATGACGGCTGCAACCAAAAAATAGCCGGGTATTGTGGCGGGTGCCTGTGGTCCCAGCTACTTGGGAGGCGGAGGCAGGAGACTGGCTTGAGCCCAGGAGTTGGAGG